ACTGCCCTTGGAACGTCCGTCGGCTTGACCGCCCCTCCAGGCAACCGGGACTCGAATTCCTGGGAGGCTGTGCCTTCCCACTCCGGGACAGCCGCAGTGGTCGTGGTCAGGAACGTGGCGGCCACAGGGGCCTGGGCGAGTGTGCGGTGCGGGGGCGCGGCCACACGGCTCCGGCGGGGTAGTTTGCCCTGGGAGTTGGAGCCACTGGCGGGCGGTGCCAGGCAGGAGTGGTAGTAACGGGACTCGGGAGCAGCGCTGCGGAGTAGCGTGGGTGGGGGCACTGGAGGGCACGGTGGGGGGGGACGGCCGAAGAAGGTGTGAGGGGATGATAGCGATCGAGGAAAAGCGGAACACCTGCTTCTGGGTTGACTCATCCAGGCTGGGGGAATAATCTAATGTGGAAAGGAGTTAAAAAAAAGGGGGGGGGGGTTGTGTACCGTAGTCCTCTCTTCCCCAGGCAGCTAGGAAATGGCTGGTCTGTCTGAAAGAAGGTAGCTGTTTTCCTTAGAGGATTGTGGTGAGCATCAGATGAGATCATACATGTGAAAGGCAAAGAGCTATAAAAATGCAAGAGACAATTTTATGTCGAATCCTTCAACCTATTTATCTTATCTGTGTGAGTGTGTAAGATGTACTGTAAGGTATGGACCAGTGGGATAGGACCAGGTGTGGGATTATGGGATGTGCCCAGTGACGCAGAGGGTGTGTAAAGATACGTTAGGGGGGCCCAGTGACACTGTAATCTATAGTAACAGCTCTCTGTCGCTTAGGTTCATTTTATCTGGTTAATGGATTATTCACCTTTTGCTTCTCTACCACACATCTTTTGGTCTTTTTGCGACCAAAGACTCTCACCCAAAAATGAGCCTGAAGAGGAAAACACCAGTCACTTTTGGGGTATATTGATTAAATTTGGCTGAGAGGGAGGTTTATGTGATTGTATTGATCTCAATTTGTCTTGCCCTCAGCATGAAACACCATGTTGTACGAAGAGTTGTGGGCTGAGGAACACCCAGGGAAGACCTAGCTCTGGATTTGACCCTTCAGTAGAGGGGTCACCCTGGCCAAGTTCCAATACCTCTCTGATCCTTAGTTTCTGTCAGATGGGAAAAGACCTATAAGGTCATTGGTGCATTCTTCCAGAGCTTGCATACCAGCCACAGGGTTACCCAGCCCCTAGTGACGGGGATCTTGTCACGTCCCAAAATGGCTGAGCCGCTCAGTCTCTCCAGACAGACCTGACTGTTGGAAAATTCTTTATGTTGAATCGACATCTGTTTCTCTACAATTTGCACTCATTGGAGCCATACAGAATAAAATGTCTAATGCTGCTTCCACAAATATTTGAGGACTACTAACACATTTCCTTCTTCCACTTACTCCACAAGGCTTCTTTTCTTCCAACTAAACATGCCTAGTTATTTTAAACAGGGAGGCAGTGTGGGGTATTGGAAAGAACGCCAGCTTCAGAGTCAGACACATCTGTGTTCAGTTCCCAGTCCTTTACATACTAACACTCGGTGCTCTGAGCTGCTGTATCTTTCTCTGCAAAATGTGGATGAAAATAGTCCTCTCGCTGAGTTATTGTAAGGATTAGGGATAAATTGGTGAAGATCCATGCTTAAAATATGAGAGCGGTTATACCTTCAGTGACATAATTTGCAATGCATTTTAGGTGATCTCCGAACAAATTCCTGTTGAGGTGTCTCTTAAATTGCTTTGTAAAACAGAATAAAATACTTTCTCTGAAGTCTGGCTAGCAAAACAGAGTAGGATCAATTTATTCCCGGTGCTTCTCTAATGACATTCTGCAATCTACAGTGGCATTTTTGGGGCCATATCACATTGACTCACTGTCACCTAAAGCTCGGAGTCTCTAACACGTGCTGATGTTCAACCAAATTTCTCCCATGTCGAACTTCTTCCATTTATTTGAGTCGATGATAATAGATGGCTCTTCAAAGTGGCAGTCCCAGTTCTGTCTCATTGTCTTCAGAAACATCCTTGTGCTTGTCATAGTGTGGTTCTCAGACCGGGGTTAGAAAAATGTGATTATCGAACGTAGGGTACCAGCCCCGCTGATCTCATATCGCTGTTGTACAATGAATGCTGAGCTTTCGACACTAATTTTTGCACAGATCCGAGGTCTTATTATGTGGGACCATCTTAGAATTGGAATGTGACAGGAGTGTCTGATAAGCTGCTGGTTGAGGGAATGCGCTGCATGGGATGTCAGTGGAGTGTGGTATCTGTATTCAAGAACTGAAAGAGTGTACTGAGAGCAAGCCGGAGGCAGACTTTGGATTTATGTATGGTTACATGTTTTCTCAGGCGCTTGGACTGTTTTATACCTTGGGCTAGATTCTCCCTGGTGGAGGAAGCTTCTTTCTGGAAGTAAGGCAGGCACATTTAGGAAATTCATTAACCCCTTGGCTCCTGGGGCATTGTTGCTAGCATTTTCTCTTCTCCCTCGACTTTGGAAAGCAAATTCCCGGCTTTAGCGAAGGCGACCTCTCCTAGTATCCTCTGCATTGTTCAGACTCCTTTGCCTCTGCACTGGAGGGTCTTCCGAACAGGAATGTTTTCTTCGCCTAAGCAAGTTCCGGGTTTGAAGTCCTCAACCCTCGATTCCTCCTTCTCCAAGGAAGTTTTTCCTAGCCACTCTGTTTCTCTTGAGCACCCGACTCAGAATTCCTCTTGTCTTCAAGAGCTTCCTTGGTCCCCTCTCTATCCCTCCCCCCAGCAGTTTCTCGTATCTGCCCACTTGTTCTGTGGCTTTCAGAATAAGATCCTTTGTAAGTTCTCAGTCCATTAAATACAAAACTGCCTTCATCTTGGGTGCTGGTGCTCCTGGTGCGGTGAGAATGAAAGTGTGGAATCCGTAGGACTCATCAGTTCCATTGACAACAAATACGAAAAAAAAATAATGCAAAGATTGTTATTGTCGTAATTAAAATGGGAAAACCTTTACTCCGTTGAGTGGACTGATTTAAATTTTGCTAAGTAATTCAGTCTTTAAAAGGTGGTAGTTAGTTAAAACAGGTAATCTTCTGTTAAAGGGAGTAATTTATATTTTGGTAAGTAACCAATTAAGTCCATAAAGGGTTTACATCCATCTGTGGCTTCTCATTTTCTTTAGGACAAGTTCCAAACTCCTTAGGATGAAATATGCGTTGTAGCCTTAATTTTTTTGCCAGTCCTCGCGGAACCCAAAGGACTTGCAGTTTTCCCCAAAGGTTGTGCAGTCCCGCGCCTCCGTGCTTTGCAAATGCCGTCCCCTCTGGTTGGAATGCTCTTTGTCTCTCCGGTAAACGTCTATTCATCATTCAAGACAACCCTCCCCCCTCCCCTTAATTACTTCCTCCCCTGTGCGCCCTCAAATTCTTGTACTTATTCATGCAGTATTTATTAGGGGCCTGCTTTGTGGCTGGCACTGTGGCGGGCTCTGGAGATACAAAAGGTGAATAATCCTTGGGTTCGGCCTTTGAGGGCCTTATGTGTTAGGGGGAGGGGGCCAACCTGTCACAGAATGTTGCCAGGAAATTAAAGGGAAAATTTAAGCAGCGTCAGTTCTTGTCTGTCTTCCCCACCGGATGGTCAACATCTTGTTCTGGGGCAGGGGCCATTTCTCATTCATCTTCGTATCCCCGGCTTTTAGCTCATTGTAGGTGCTTAAAAAAAGCGTTCGTTTCATCGGACACCAGAAGTGTACCCTGGATTGCGCCACACGTTTTGATGACAGCTTATAAGTGGTGGTTTCTCCTGTGCCTGGTTGGTGGCCCTTACCTCCCAGTGCAATGTTAGGTGCTGGGTGGCCTTGGGTCGGCTCGGATGGACTGGCCTTTTGCGATTCGTGCTTGCCTGCGCTTTGGGCTGCGGAATGGCCTGGGCTGGCGGGCGTGAGTGGAAGGAGAGGCTTGCAGCGCCCCCGCTGGAGGGAGCCGGCACTGCTTGGGCTGCCTGGCTCGCTCGCATCGCTCGCATCCCGCGCGCGCCTTCGTCAGAGTTTTAAGTTTATAGTCAGAATATGAACATAAACACGCTGTGATTCTCTACACTTTTCTTTTCAGAGGCATAATATATGCCTTTCAAAGGATTATAGGTGAAGAAGAAAATTCCTTCCCTCTTTCCTGTACCGCTGGGGCCTTTGCATTGTGATTCAATCGTACATCTAAAAAAAGGGGAGTTTTAGTCTCGTAATTGTGAAGATCATTATTTCTGGCGCGGTACGGGCCTTCTGCTGGGAGCGGGTGCAGCGCGAGGGCTGCGGCGGGGCTCTGGCATGCGGGCCACGTAGTGCTGCTGCAAAGGAAACGTGCCTGGTGCTGTGGCCATGGCCGTGGTTGAGAGAGAGAACCCAGACTTTTCCCCAAGTTCTGCCCTTCTGGCTTCCTAACCACCGTCCCCCGAATCAGCCGATGAGATTGGTAGTAGTCCCAGCAGAGCTTACCGTTCCCTAGCCATTTGGTTGTGTCCTTTCTGCTTACCCATAGTTAGGGACCTAGGAGGGGTTGGGTACTCGAGGACCGCTGCTTTGGTCTGGGTACTCACGTAGTTCAGAACCTATGCCTCGGTGTGGTGCAGACTGAGAGCAGGTACCACCGTTGGCCGCCCCGAGCCCCACTGCACCTGAGGTCGAGTGGCCACCTCGGGGTTGGGGGCACTGTGGGTGGTGGTCTGTGGTTGGGGGTGTGTGTTGGGATTTCGGGATCTGTGGTCTTTTCCAGCGGCGTAAACTCAGCAGAGGAGGATTTCTGCTGCGGAACCTGGAGCTCAGCGTTGGGGGGCCTGTGAGGGAGCAGCGGGGTGCTGGCAGGGGTCGACAACCCTAAAGGTGCCCCCTAGAGGAGCTGCTGCGAGAAGGATGCTCCATCCCTGCTGCGGCGGCAGGGCTGCGGGGAGGGGCCATGGGGAGGGGCGGTGGCCGTGGCGGGAGGGGCACTGCGGCGCGGTGGGCGGGCCAGGGGCGGGGCGCGGGTGGGCTCTAAAAGTCGGTGCCCACTCGCTCGACACTGCCGCGGCAACCAGCACGTCTCGGTGCTTCCTCTGCGGCAGCCGCACCTCGCGCAGTGCCGCAGCGCACGCCCGGGTGGCTGCTCGCTGCTTGCCGCGGCCGGCGCCGCCCTCGCGGGCTGTAGGCTGTGCCCGGCTGCCGGCCGGGCTGCCCTGCTGCGGGCGCTGCGGCGCGCGGTGCTCCAGACCCGTGTGCCGGGCGGCATGGGATAAGACGCGGCCATGGTACGCCGAGATCGCCTCCGCAGGTGGGTGCACGCGGCAGGCGCGAGGGGGTGTGGCTGGCTCCAAGCCGCCGTCCCGGAGAGGGTGCAGGCTAGCTGGTGGGGACTCTGCGTGTCCGTGCCATAGGTGTGACTAGAACTGCCAGACCGCGACTCCCGCAGTGGAGGGAAAACCCCCACCCGGGGTGTGTGTGGTGGGGAGACGCACCTGCCTGCCCTCTGAGCCCTGGCTGCCTACTTGGGAGGGGATGTCACTCCTGCACGCAGTAGGATATTGAGCTGGAGATCTCCCAGATTTGGTATTTCTGTACCCTGGTATCGCTCTGATGCGATTTAGGATTTTTAGACCCCAGCGTCGCCGTGGCGCAATTTAGGATTTTTAGACCCTGGCGTCACCCTGGCGCGACTTAGGATTTCTAGACCCTGGCGTCACCCTAGCGCGATTTAAGATTTCTAGATCTCGGCTTCGCCCTAGTGAGACTTAGGATTTCTAGACCGCGGCTTCGCCCTGGCGTGATTTAGGATTTCTAGACTGCGGCTTCGCCCTGGCGCGATTTAGGATTTCTAGACCGTGGCTTCACCGTGGCGCGATTTAGGATTTCTAGACTGCGGCGTTGCCCTGGTACAATTTAGGATTTTTAGACTCCGTCTTCGTCCTGGCACAATTTGGGATTTTTAGACATCCGGCATCGCCCTGGCGCGATTTGGGATTTTTAGACCCCAGCAGAGCCCTGGCGCGATTTGGGATTTTTAGACCCCGGCATCGCCCTGGCGTGATTTAGGATTTCTTAGACCTTGATATCGCTCAGATGCGATTTAGGATTTTTAGACCCGGCATTGCTCAGGCACGATTTAGAATTTCTAGACCCCAGTGACGCCTTGGCGTGATTTAGGATTTTTAGACCCCGGCATTGTCCTGGAGTGATTTTGAATTTCTAGACCCCAGTGACGCCTTGGCGTGATTTAGGATTTTTAGACCCCGGCATTGTCCTGGAGTGATTTTGAATTTCTAGACCCCCGCATCATCTTGGCATGATTCAGAATTTCGAGGCCGTGGTATTGCTGTGGCGCGATTTAGGATTTCTAGACTCCGGTATCACTGTGGCGCGATTTAGGATTTGAAGACCGTGGTATTGCTGTGGCGTGAGTTAACTGCATAGGTATGACTAGAACTTGCAGTACCGTATCACCGAGGCGTAAGTATTTTACAGATTTCTGTGATGAGAAGCTAAGTGAGAATGATGATGTGATCAAACTGTCATAATGTTACACATGAATTGTTTGCATTGGTTTACAAAGTAGTTCACAGCTTCACCGCGATGCTGGAAGGTGGCAGGTTTGGTGGTATTAAATGTATTTTTTTCCTCTTTACAAGACGAAGAAATCAAGGCTCGGAAGGGTTGATTAATTTCCAGAAGGTTTGTTACCTGGGTTTGCTGAATTTATACTCTTGACTTGTGGCTCATCAAGTAGTGGAGATTTTGGTCAAAAAATGATTAATCCCATTTGGCTACTGACTGCCAGATTGCTTCCCTACTAAAAATCCTAAAATGTGGTTAAGGGCATTTTTACCGAGTAATTAAACCAGAAAAAAGGCTTCCTGAAAGGTTGCCTCTTTTCTTTCTTGGAGTGAAAAAGAAGGAAGGTATAGAGGGTGGGGGTGTCCAAGAGTGGAAAATGCACAGTTGTTGCCCCCGAGGCTCCTCCCCCCTCTCCCCCCTCCACCCCCCTACCTCACCCTACCCCACCCCCCTCCACCTCACCCTACCCCACCCCCCTCCACCCCATCACTCCCTCCACGCCCCTCCACCCCCCCACGCCCCTTTACCCCACCCTCCTGCACCCGACCCCCCTTGCAGGGAGCCTCCTTCTGCTTGTTCCTCTAGTAGCCCCTCCCTGGCTCTCTGCTGAGTCATTGCAGATATTCGTCCGCTGGAACCCCTGAATGAATGAGATGAGAAGCGGGGCGGGGGCCGGGGAGGGGTGGGGTGGGAAGGAGTGATGAAATGTGAACGTGCAAATGTAGGAGCTGAAGTACGGGACAGATGATAGCTAATGATACACAAACCTGATACTTTTTGTCATCTCATTTTGCAAGTAGATACTGGATGTGGCCTGCTGCTTTTGTGGGGTAAAAATGGTGATATGATGATGATTGGGGGCATTTTTGGGGAATCATTTATAATATTGAAAGATACAAGCAAATCATTGGGTCTGTTTTCTGGACAGCTACTAAGGAGGAAGAAAAAAAAAAAGTGCCCTAGTGATGCCAGAAAAAAAGAGAGGCGCTACTCAGAGTCTTTAAGGCACGTGGTGATTTGGCCCCTGTGGGACCACAGCCTTACTTGTTTTAGAGTTTAAAAAAAAAAAAAAAGGTATTTTGTGAGCTGGATTAGTTTGTGATGGATAGGGATTGTGGCCAGATTACAGGCAAGATGGTGGAAGGGTGTGTGTACACACAGAGCCTTTTCTGCCAGGGCTTTAACAGTTCATTTCCCTAATTTATAGCTCTATTTTCTTGACAACTCTTAATTTTTATTTTAGAAGGTATTTCCATTCTGGTTATTTTAGAGAACTTCCATTCTACTGATAATTCTTTTCCTGGTGACTATTAGCAGTCATAAACTAGAAACAGAGGGAACTGTGTCTAATTCCTGTTTAGCACTCCTCGTTGTAAATAGACTGACTTGGACCTTTGAAGTCCTGGGCATGAGAAGGTTGGCTGTGCAAACCAGTGCTTTCCTTCCAAAGACAAAAGCAATTTTCAGATGTTGCCTATGAGCTCTGCCTCATTTTTTTGAGGGGTGTGCAGGGTGGGGGTAGCAATCCTAAGAAATTAAATAAATGGGAGCTACCTCAAGAGTCTAAGAAAAGCAGAAATATAATCTGCTGCCCTGACCTCTCAAGAGATTAGATCTTTGGGTCATGACAAAGCTGCTTATGGTGGAATACACAGTGTACCTAGCTTCTTACTTTCGCAGACTGTTTACCTGGAGCAGTTTCTCAGCACAGATCCAGGGAGTAGTACCAAGTGGGGCTTCACTGGGGTCAGAGAGTTGATAAATATTAAAAAATCAAAAACAGCTCTCTGCTTAAGGATATGTGATGCTTTTTTAAACATTAGTAAAAAACTACATATATGTATCTCTATATATTTAACATTTTACTGGTGGGGGCTGGTGGGTGGGTGGTAGAGCTTTTAGAATAAATATGAAGGAAATCATTTTTTTCTTTGGGGAAGCTTTGATAAAAGCCAATGAAAAGGTGCACAATACTTAACTTCCTTTTACTTTACATAAAAACTTCTTCAGGTTTTAGGAAAAGCACAGTGGCGGCGGCGGGCGGGCGTTGCCGAGGGATTAAAGTGGGAAGGAGAGAAGGAAGATTACATATTAAAATAATATATTTTTTCCTTAAAATTAGAATGGTGAACAGGTATGGTGATTGCAAAGCAGGGAGAGGTGTGCTTACATTCTTCTTGGTAAACTTTCTGCCATGGTTCATATGGAGGGCAAGGTAGTCACTGCATGGTACAGAAATTTCCCACCCCATTTTACCAATTTGGGGCTTGTAAAAGCATGCACAGCATCATCTGACTGCTTACCCCAGGTCTCTGATTTTCTTACAGGATGAGGGAGTGGTGGGTTCAGGTGGGGCTATTGGCTGTGCCCCTGCTGGCGGCCTATCTGCATATCCCCCCTCCCCAGCTTTCTCCTGCTCTTCACTCATGGAAATCGTCAGGCAAATTTTTCACCTACAAGGGACTGCGCATCTTTTACCAAGGTAAGAAGAGGACTGTTGGAGCACCCTCCGTGTATAATAGGTTCCGTGGGTCCCACTGAGGTACTCATTTTGGGTCTCTTGTTGGTTTCTGTTGCCCCTCCGTCGGGGGCGGAATCCCTTTTTCTGGGTAGTGTGCTTGGAGGAATGGGTTAATTCCCCTCAATAACTCCATAGCAGGGAAACTCAAAGAAAACTGTTGGGGGTGGGGGCGATGGAATTGAGATTCTGATTTCTGTAGAACTGACTTTTCAGTGTAATTTTTCTTCATAGCCTCATTTGTATTGGTATCAGTTTTCTCTTTTGGGCGCCCCTAGTGTTCAGTAGATAGCCCTACCACTGGTTCTATTTCCCTCCATCCCTGATTTCATTTTATTGTTTTCTGTAAAGATTGTTATATGCATAACTAAATGTGATTTAAGCCTTATACCTTTGTATAGATTAATTTGCTAATGATAATTATTATGATTGCTACTTACCGTAATTACCATATGCTAGTCATTGAATTATGTTTTCAACCTTTGTTATTATCTTTAAGATTAAATATCTTTACAACAGTACTTGGAGATGGATGCCATTAACCCCATTTTATAGGTAAAGAAACTGAAATGAGATTGGAAAAGATATCTTTTGGGCGGGGGTCAAGAGCAATAACGAAAAATGTTTGTCATAAACCGTTTTTCATTATTGCTCCTGACCTCCTCTCATTTGCTATATTCAAATGAAGTAAGTATATACTTTTCTTTATATTGGTCATTTGGTTGTTTCTAGTTTTTCAATGTTTTAAATAGTTAATGTTGAAGGGAAATCTTCGTGTATATGTTTATTTTTTCCATATATTTTCAAACTATACTACTTGTAAGTGGAATGATTTTATTTGCATGGGTTCTCAAGAATAAGTATATTTTTAAATTGCTTCTAATTATTTTTGCAAACCTTATCAAATCTCATGCCACTGGCAGGATGTATGAATGTGTCACTTTTAATCTAATACTTTAAAAGCAAGGCATTTTACTGTTTAAATGTTTGGCTAATTTAAAAGATGTTTCTGCATTAAAAAAAGTTAATGTCAATACTGCTTAATCCTTTTTTATACTTGTTAGAATTGTTAATAGTTTGAGCATTATGCTTTTGATACTGGATTGGCTCTCCACTGGGAGAAATAAAAGTGCTGGACAAACAAAATAAACTAAGGTGTCCATCAGGTTGAGGAAGAGTTGCTATATTTTAGAAAATTTTTGTGAGGCCCTTAATGATAAGGTACAAAGAATCTGTAGTGTTTATGTTGTGATTGTATACTTTTTTTTTTTTTTAAAGATTTATTTATTTGACAGAGAGCGTGCACAAGTAGGGGGAACGGCAGGCAGAGGGAGAGGGAAAAGCAGGCTCCCCGCCGAGCGGGGAGCCCGATGCGGGGCTCGATCCCAGGACCCTGGGATCATGACCTGAGCTGAAGGCAGACGCTTAATGACTGAGCCACTCAGGCGCCCCGTGATTGTATACTTTTAACTGTGCAAGTTTACTTTTACTGTGGAAAAACAATTTACATATTGATAATACAGAATAAAGGAAGAAATGGAGAAATACTTTAAAAAAATCTAGGTGAAATGAAGCAGACTGCCTTCCAGTATTTTCATGTAAAGTGTGCTATTTACAAGTTTTTAATATATAAAAGAAAATAATCAAATGCCTGTTTTTACCTAAAGCAGTAAGCTTCCTTTTTAAAAAGGAATTTGTTATTTTTATTTCATTAATTTAGGCAGGGTTTCTTGTCCTTTATACCAGGTTACTTCGATTTTAAGATTTCCAAGGTTATTTTTATAGGCAGTCAGCCTAACTGATCTCTTTCCTTCTTCCCAGACTCTGTGGGTGTGGTTGGAAGTCCTGAGATAGTTGTGCTTTTACATGGCTTTCCAACATCCAGCTATGATTGGTACAAGGTAATGAAATCAGATTTCTAGATCCTACTCTGTCTTTAAAAATCCAAAATCAAGGATTTTGTTGTCAGCACTGGAAGGTTCTTACGTATTTGAATTGCCTAATAAAATAGGATTAAGTGTAGAACCGTTTCTCATTTACTGTAAGGGAGTAAAAACTCTGGTGATCTGGGAAGGATCATTGCCAAGTTAAAAATGCTGGAGTTTTCCCCTCAGTGGAGATTAGGAGTAAACCAAGAGGATCATCTGTGGGCCCGTGGTAGTTGCATGAGATTTTCCCTTTATCGAAGTCTGTTTGTTAAGCCAGGATGGGAATGAAATTCCTGTGCTGTAGGTCGGAGGAGAGGAGATGCAGGATCACAAAAGCCGGATCATCTCTTTCTTTCTTGTAGATTTGGGAAGGTCTGACCCTGAGGTTTCATCGAGTGATTGCCCTTGATTTCTTGGGCTTTGGCTTCAGTGACAAACCAGTAAGCAGCATCTCGATGGGACCGGTGTTGGGTGGGGGAGGGGGTGGACGAGGCCAGAGGGTCAGACTGCAGACGGATCTGCACTCATGACTTCCTCCGGTATATCTGGGCTTTTCCTCTCCCTAGAGACCGCATCACTACTCCATTTTTGAGCAGGCCAGCATTGTGGAGGCACTTCTGCGGCACCTGGGGCTCCAGAACCGCAGGCTCAACCTGTTGTCTCACGACTACGGAGACATTGTTGCTCAGGAGCTGCTCTATAGGTCAGTGAGGTCACAGACGCTTCTCTACTAGTCCCGGGTCTTACTGGTGTAAGAGGCTGCAAAAGTAAATGGTTCCTGGGTTCCTTCTGGCCCTTTGCCCTCTTGGGAGTTTGTCTTCAGGTGCTGGGTTGGTGTATGTCCATTCAGTTAGATGTGTTTCCCTCACCTGTTTCTAGGTTCAAGCAGAATCGATCCGGTCGGCTTACCATAAAGAGTCTCTGCCTGTCAAACGGAGGTAATTGCCGTGGTGGTGGGTGGAAAGCGAAGTGCAGCCTCGAAGGGCCACGGGTAGATACTACCTCGACATCTAAGTGGTGATCTGATGAGACTGCAGGCAGACACATTTAAACCAGAGGCCCTTGACCTTTTTGTGCCATGAACTGCTTTGGTGGTCTGATAAGATTTATTGACCCTTTCTCAGAAGAATGTTTTTAAATACGGAAACTAAAATGAATAGGATTATAAAAGAGACGGATGATACCAACATACAGTTCATAAAAAGCTGTATTGTAGTAATAAGTGCTTCTTTGTAAAAGCATCGCATAGCAAGGCTTATGGGAGGTCTAGCGAGCACTGCGCTCGGTAGTGAGGAGCGCAAGTGAAGTTTTGCACTCTGCAGCAACTGCACTGGGGTATGCGTATAGTTGTGATGAAGCCACAGGTACTTGATGCTCCTCTGGTTTGTTGCAGAAACTTCATTGGTAGCAGGGCCAAGTTTCAGGTAGAAATTCGTGAACCTCTGATTAGACCTTTTGGAGGGGTTTCTTTTTCTTTGTGTGCCATGGAGCACAGCTTGTAAATCCTTGAATAATCCACATGTCCCCTGAATACCGTAAGGGCAGATTGGGACAGGAGTCTATCCGTTTATCAGCAATGCTCAGGGCTTTCTCCCACTGACCCTTAGAAAAATGGAAAAGGAAAACTCTCGTCCCCCCCCCCCCCCCACCTCCCCACTCTGCCCAGGGACCTACAGTCCCTGAAAAAAATCTGGTGGTTTCTTTTGTAGCCCAAACCGTTAACAATACTAGGTGCTCTGAGGAATGGTTAGAAGGGCCAAGGGGAGTCAGGGCTTAGTCATCAGCATTATGGATGATCATGTACATTATCTTTCCCCTGTTTCTCTACTCTTACAATGGGGAAAGTAATCCCAGTGGGATAGAATTTGACCTGTTAAACACAGAATCCCTTGGAGAATTAGATGACAGAAGTAAGTCTTATTTGTAATCCTGTTCCTGGCAGTGATGGCCCCCAAAGGTGACAGTAAATAGGGACGATCATCTCCGATAATGGACCTGTGTTTGGCCTAAAGTTGTTGGTAAATGATTAACATAAGTCTCTTTTTCTCCTATAGGTATATTTCCTGAGACTCACCGTCCTCTCCTTCTCCAAAAGGTTGGCTACTCCAGTCACAAAATCTTTAGTTTTTAAGATTTCTACCAACATAAATAATGCTAGGACCTATATAAGGGCCATACCTGCTATAATGGGCCATCGTGAAAATCCTCTCCTCAGGAATTTACATTAATAAAGTTAGTTTTTTCCTTCTTATGCTGATAAAGCAATGGAAGCGGCCTCTAGGTAGAGCCTCATTTCTGAGAGTAAGAGATCAACAAATATTTGGAGAAATAGAGCTATCTAGAGATTTGGATCATTAGCGTGATGGCTGAATAGATCAGATCCTAAAGTTGAATACATCAGTTAGAAGGCTTAGGGATTTAGTGAAGTGTAGAAATGTAATCTTAAAGGGAATTACAAATAGGTTTTGCCTTCCGTGAGAGAATAGGTAGGCAAAACAAAAAACGAAAAGCCAATAAACAAATATTTCGGTAGAAGGACATTTGACTAAGGTCCTTTTTTAGTTCCTAATATAAAACTTTTGTCCTGGTTAGTGGTTTTCTTTCTCTAAAATCTTTACTTCTTTACCTACAGCTTCTCAAAGATGGAGGCATGTTGTCACCCATCCTCACTCGATTGATGAACTTTTTTGTATTCTCCCGAGGGTAAGTCATTGTCAAAGATTGATTTACTATAGCCTGGGAACAATGTAGTGAAAAGTTGCCATTAAAATTCTGGGCCAAATCCTGGGGTTTGATACTTTAAAACAAAGATGTTGGCCACCTGCCAGGGAAGTAGTAGAGGGAATTCATAAATCAGTTAAGGGTCAGACTTGCGTGACCTGTGAGGTTCCAGTCATATTTGACATTCTGGATTCTTCTCACATGTGTCTTCCTGCTCTCTCGGGCTCTTTCAGTCTCACCCCAGTCTTTGGGCCGTACACCCGCCCCTCTGAGAGTGAGCTGTGGGACATGTGGGCAGGGATTCGCAACAACGACGGGAACTTAGTTATCGACAGGTAAGAAATAACACTTTGCTTTGGTTTCCAGAGAAGCTCTTTTTTTGGGGGGGGGGGTGTGGAGTGGGGAAAGGTAGAGGATTGCTTGTTTTGTTCCTTGCTGGCTTGTTCCCTCTCTCTCTGACCTGTGAGGCAAACCAAGAAGTCATGCACTGTTCTTTCTAAGAAGAAAGAAATTGAGAATAGTGAGCCTTAAGCATAAGCCACGTGGCACACAAAGTTTAGATAAACAGCTGCAAATTCTAATGCTAATTCTGTTTCTAACTGGCCGGTTGACTTTGGCAAATCCTACTTTGGGCTTTTTGTGAATATTAAATGCCTCTAATTGTCTAATCATGGTTGTGAAAGGAGCCTAGTACGTGTCTCTTTCTTTTTCATGTCTTTTCTGTAGCAACAGTGACTGAGAAGGAGAGCTTTCCGTCTTACACAAGGAATGCTCATGACTTGATCCAAATGAGAATGTAGCAGCTTTCGTTTTAGGATGCCTTTGCATACCTGTAACAATAAAGATTTCTTGTTCTACTCTTGCTCACTTCTCTGTCCTATAGTCTCTTACAGTACATCAACCAGAGGAAGAAGTTTAGAAGACGCTGGGTGGGAGCTCTTGCTTCTGTAACTATTCCCAGTGAGTATTTCTACCTTATATCTTGATAGGACTGAGGGACTATGGGTCTCAAATAATTGCCAGATTTAGCAAATAAAAATACGAGACACCCAGCTAAATTTGAATTTCAGACGAATAGCAAATACTTTTTTAGAATAAGTATGTGCTTTGCAATATTTTGACGTATTTATACTTAAAAAAATCATTACTTACATGAAATTCAAATTTAACTGGGCATCTTTTATTTAATCTGGCAGCCCTACTCTGCAAATCTGGAAGAGCAGTGACCTGCGTTGTAGAGTGAAGCATCTGAAACAGCGAGATGCTGCTGCAGGGGCAGCTGGTACCACTGTCAGGAGCGGGAGCGGGGTTGGCTTCTGCGCTGTGCGGCGTGTGGCTGCCACGTTACATGCTGAGTTGCCGGGACAGAAGGCGGTTTAGATGACTAATCGAGAGGCTGTAGGTGGTTTCTGCTCATTGGTCTCTTCAATCTTACAGATTTAAAAAGAAAAAAAATCAGTGCAGTGTCTCATACACAGTAGTGTTCCAGAAATTAGTGGTTGTTTTAAAATGTCAGCGGTCAGTTGTAACTGGAGAGAGACCTAAGTAATGACGGTATCCTGGATTTATAGGAAGAGAACATGGAGCGCGAGACTTAGTCCTTTTGGTTCAGGCACAGAGGAGCTGGAGGAGGGACTGAGTGTCTCTGTACAGGAGAACTGTCCCAAATGGACTGTTGGCTTATTCCCAGAAGTTCCTTATAACCTACTTATTGAAAGAAGCTAGGTTTTCTAGCATAAATCAGTGGGACTACATCAAACTAAAAAAGCTCTGTACAGCAAAAGAAGCCATCAACACATGGGAAAAATATTTGCAAACCATATATCTGATAAGGAGTTAATATCCAAAATATATAAAAAGACTTCATACACTCCACAAAAAAACCCGAAGCCAATTAAAAACTGGGCAAAGGACATGAATAGATATTTCTGCAAAGAAGATACAGGAAAGGCCAACGAGGTACATGAAAGGAGCTCAACATCACTGGTCCTTAGGGAAATGCAAATTAAAACCACAATGAGATATCACCTTACACGTGTTAGAATGGCCATCATCAGAAAGACAAGAGAGAAGTGTTGGTGTGGATGTGGAGGAAAGGGAACCCTTGTGCACTGGGGGTGGGATTGTAAATGGGTACGGCCACAGTGGAAAATAGTATGGAGGAGTCTCAAGAAATTAAAAATAGAACCACCATATGACCCAGCAACTCCACCTCTGGGAATATATCCAAAGGAAATGAAAACACTAATTTGAAAAGATGTCTGCACCCCCTTGTTCGTAGCAGCAGTGTTTACAACAGCCAAGACATGGAAACAGCCGCCAACGAACGAACGGATAAAGAAGCTGTGAGATGCACACACACACACTGCAGTGGAGTATTATTCAGCCATAAAATGGCAGTCTTACCATTTGTGACAATATGGATGGACCCACAAGGCGTTATACTAAGTGAGATAAGTCAGAGAGAAAGAAAATACTGAATGATCTCACTTTTGTGTGGGATCTGAAAAACCCCACCAAACTCAGAGGAAAAGAGATTAGATTTGTGGTTACGGGAAACTGGAGGAAGGTAGTCAAAATACACAAACCTGCACTTAGAGGTCCTAGGGATGTGATGCACAACATGGCCGCTACAGCTAACAAAGTTGTCGAGAGAGTAGATCCTAAGAGTTGTCATCACAAGGAGAATTTTTTTTCTTTTTATTGTGTGGTAATCATTTCAAATATACGTAAGCCAAACCATCATACTGCATGTTTTAGAGTTTTCCACTGGGAAAAAAACCATTTTGTTTTGAGGGAGGAGAGTAGGTGTGAGAGCTTTAGTAATTTGTTCCTCTTCTCTTTCCTAGTTCATTTTATCTATGGGCCACTGGATCCCGTAAATCCCTATCCAGAGTTTTTGGACCTGTACAGGTGAGTCTCCCTCAGGGGTCTTTGTTTTGTTCCTCATGGTGACAGTGGTGAACAGGATAGCCACTGTCTCTGCCCTCACTGGCAGTTCATCCAGGAAACGTAGTAGAAAAGGATGAATTGGGAAATCTTCTTTTCAGAAATGTAAAGATGAAAAAATTCAGTTACACGTTGTCTTGATGTATACAGCCTATTTCCACTGTCATGGTTACTACATATTCCTAGGTGTACAGGTAAGAAGCAGCTATCATGTGAACCACGGAGTGAACTACATCTCTTTTAAGAAATGTTTGTTTTAGTCTGATCATAAAGCTAACTCCTCCACCTCAGCTGAGCAGACGAGTGCACTGTGGAAAAGTGCCTTCTCATCGGTTATTTTCTCTAGGTACTTACTCAGAAGGTGTTGGAATATGAAATCTTGACTATGTCACAGAAGACTGTCCCATACCTTCACGTGGCCTAGCAGAAACAACCCAGTAGTAAATAGTGTGCATTTAATTTTAAACAAAGTGCCCTCCCCTCATCCGCTCCCAGGGTTAAGGAAGGTCCGTTGTTATCTTTACTTGGATAGCGAGTTGCTGAGTGGCCCACTTGTTTGATGCCTCATGCTTCTCTAAGGAGCTGGAAGTCATCCTGCTTGGGCAGGTGCTGTAAAGTGTTATATGCTCAGGTTGTTGTCTGTTGGATTATGAACATTTAAGAACTAGTCTGTTTATGTCGTAAATGGAATTGGCAAGTTTATCTGCCTAAGATACAATTCCAAAGTAGAAGGTGAATAAGCTCTTTGTTGGTTCCTTCCAGTGTGGTATGTCCACAAGAGCCTTAACCGGGGCTGCCCACTGGCTTGCATCCGTCCCCTCCCTCCAGCCTTAAGTTCACCTACGTGCTGTTCTCTTCCACTAGGAAAACGCTGCCGCGGTCCACAGTGTCGATTCTGGATGACCACATTAGCCACTATCCACAGCTAGAGGATCCCATGGGCTTCTTGAATGCATATATGGGCTTCATCAACTCCTTCTGAGCTGGAAAGAGTAGCTTCCCTGTATTACCTCCCCTACTCCCTTATCTGTTGTGTATTCCACTTAGGAAGAAATGCCCAAAAGAGGTCCTGGCCACCAAACACTATTCTCTCACAAAAGTCCACCTGACGCACATTGGTGATCAGCGTATAGTAAAAAGCCCACAGAAGCTCCGGTTAAGGATGGCCCTAACAGTCCACCTCCCATTCTTCTCACAGCTGAGCAAGTTTATGGACTTGCCCTTGCGCTATTAGGAATTTCTTAAAAGTCTTAACACTTCTATGGACTTTTCTGAAATACCTAGAAATGCTCATTTCTGGCCCATCCTTGACTGGAGTCCTAAAGTAAAGAATGAGGAGAGGGTGTCTCCTGACCTGTCCTTAAATGGCTTTAAGGGCACCTGCGTTTTTAAGTTCTCTAAAAAAACACAGCTTCAAGTGAGAGTGAGTCTCCCTTGTCATAACTTGGGATTTCATTTCATGAGCTGCTTTTAATTATAAACATTTTGTTAAAATAGGTTTTGGTTTGAATAATGCAGTATTTTAAGTATACTTTAAGACTATGATTTACCTACATGTATTATATGTATTTTCTAAGGATACTAAACCAGCAGATACTCTGGCAGAGTAGTGAACCTTATTAAACAGGTTTAATTTCTGAATACATTGAATTAAATTCAGACTATTTACAGAAGTTCCCAAAAATCACAGGATACTAAAGACCAGTAGCATCCGTGCCAGAGATTTACTGTTATTAGCTAACTCTGACAGCGAGTAACAGTCTGACTCTTCATACCTCAGTGCTTCGAGGCATGTCCCTCCTGAGCTGGAGGGGAGGGGATCGTTGTATAGTCCAGGTTACCGTACCGAATGTACAGAGATTCCTTTTCTGATGACTGATTAACTTAACGTCTCATTGGTTGTCTCAGAGAGACATCCTCTTGTAGCTCAGTAAATCCTGTACTTTACAGACAGGAAAGTTCCAGAAACTTTATGAACAAATTCTGAAAGACCTATGAGCAAATGGTGCTGAAATTTTTTTTAAGCCACAGCTTCACTGTCTTAGTCGAAACAGGAGGATTAAGTGATTATTTTAAATTTTTTTTTTTATTAGCAACTTCAAGTATAACAACTGAAACTGGAATAAGTGTTTATTTTCTATTAATAAAAATGAATTTTGACAAAAGTGGACTCTGGCTTCCCCTCCCCCACCACCCCTCTGGGATAAAAGCTTTCAACATTGTCAGGAGCTTTCAGACACACATTAAAGACTATAATGAGGTTAAGCAGCTGGGGTAGAGGATAGTATTTGATTTGCAAGATCACCCAAAGCTGTACTATCATACCAAAGTTGACCAAGTGTAATAAAAAAAAAAAAAATTTACATGCACAAGGACAGATATCTGCTTGATCTGCTGGCTCAGGGCCAAATATTTAATTTGCTTCTCCAAAGACGTTAATCTTTAAAAGTATGATTCTGGGAAATTCATGCCACCAGCCTAAAAGCCCACTGACAGTGAAGTGTGCATCGACTTCATCTTGCCCAGTAAACATTTATCCAACAGAAGCTAAGATAACATCTACAGGTGTTCCCTCTTGGCTTCTGACAGTCACCTGCATGGTCACTCCATCTGCTAAGGCCAGCCTGGACCTCACCAATAAGTCATAGCCACCTCTGTATACACCTGAGAGAAAAAAGCAAGGAAAACTAGATTAAGAACTCAAAACAAGCTCTGAATAATGAAATATGTCATGCTCTGCCTGCATTTCCTTTCTATTATTTTAGTTTAGCTTTTCTAGAGATCTGTGTCTATGGTGAGACTTGAATCCTGTGTACAAACTTTAGTAATCTTTTGTATAGCCATGATACCAGGCACATAGAAGGTATTCAGTAGTACTGATCTGGAGGACTCAGCGGCAGGTGGCATTGGGATCTGCGGGAGAGATTTAAGGGTTTTAGGCCAAATTCACCTCTTCAAAAAACAGCCTAAGGATAGCCTGCAAATAACTAAACAGCTAAAACAAATTATTCACATTGACAGGGCTGCAGATTGGGACTCCTACGACGGGATAACAGACAGGAGCAGGGCCTGTGCACACCCCTTCCTATTTTGCGACCAAACAAAGGGGGAATCTGATGGCGGTTTCTTACCTGCCAGATAGAGGGAATGGGAATTCTTGTTCTCCGGTACTTTGTCCGACCTCTCACATGGCTGCATGCCCAGAAAGGTGGTGATGTTGTTGACAGCTTCTGTGTTGAGAAGACAGATGCAACCGTATCAGGGAAGCTCAGCCTAGGGGTCTGCCTCCGTCCCAGCAGGTGCTGAGGAGGGAAGCCACCAGACTAGAACCTGGTTGACTCAATTAGATGATGAAGACAAGATCCCGGCCTTTTCAGCAAAATAGTTTATGAGATATTTAAAGAAAAGAGATACTCTGGAATAATAAATATGCCCATTAGCTTTTATCCTGCAATACACCGACAGCAAAATTGTTCTCACCTTCGAGAGTTTTGGTGGAACTGAGGGCAAACGTCTCCTCTTTCTCAAAGGTGTCTCCCACCTCTTCCCAGGCAGCAGCAAAATTAGGCTTCAGTACTTTCTGAATGTGGTCAGACACAGTCACTTCAAGGTCTTCCAGCTAGTAGGTAACAAGCAGGGGTCAGTAAAGGAAAGTCCCTCAGTACACCACAAGGACAGAAGAGACCGATTAGAATGGTTTTATCATTTGGTGTTCTGTCCTTTGCAGGAGCCTAGGACAAACTTTACCACCAAAGTAGTTTAAGTTCTGTGGTCTAGATAAATCTAATGATGTAGGCCTTAGCAAAGGAAAGCAAGAAAACAGGACATGTGGCAAGAGCTATATTCAGATCAACACCTATAACCCTGGGGTATAAAGTAGTCATGCTGCCATACCTAACCTTCGTGTTCAGGCCAGTCAGGGCCTTTGAACGTCACATTCACTCACAGCCTGATACTCGTTAAAACTTTTCCCTGCATTTTGTGAAGGCTTTTTCAGTCCATGATGTGACTACGTTAGAAGCAAACTAAACACTGCTAAATAAAAACAGAAAAAACCCAATACTTCAAATAAAACTCCTTGATCTCCATGAAAATCATGTAATTGTTTGATCTCTTAATTATCCCTGTTATAAAGACATCAGAAAGTGAGTTTTGTTTTAATCAGTCATTAAGTGGTAAATCCCAATTCTCTTGGGCATGACACACTCCTCTTACAGAGGAGGATCCGTCCAGGTCCTCCTCAGTTGTGATCTGTTTGGGAAGAATGAAAGCCCCTAAGTTCACGTCCGATGTCGCTAGCAGCGTGGTCTCTGCAGGCAGAAGTCCCTCGATGGTGCAAGGGTGTCAGGGTGCATGTCCGTGCGGGGGAGACTCACCACGTACTCGTCATCATACCCCTCCTCAGCTGGAACCCCAGTGTCAGGGTCGCAGTCCCGGACCGTAAACTTCATGGTGCAGCTGAAGGTGCCTGCAACTGGGGCAGAAAGGGCAGGCGAGCCTGGGTCAGGGCCGCTGCAGGCACGGGGCCTCCCTCCGTAGCGCAGAGAGCGTCCTGTGCTGTCAGGCAGAACACACGTAGCCTCTGCTTCCTAGGGTGCTAGCTCCCAGAGCCTGGGGCTGGCTGGCAAGGCAGTCTCACAAAATGACTTTAAAAACCATCTCCCACCGTGGGTTAGAATAGCACAGAAAAGACGACATGGGTAACACTGTTTTCGTATTTGTATGAAGCAAGCAGCAAGGGAGAGAACTCGGGGAGCTTTTTGCCATGCCTGTCAAGAGTCTACATGTTGAAAAATGTAAGAACCATTACTTTTAGGAGCTGACAAAGCAAAAAAAAAAAAAAAAAAAAAGCAAAAAGCACACAGGTCGTTAAATTAACACTAAGTACATCAAGAGTCTCAATATCAATATTTTATCTTTAGACTGGACTGACAGTGGGTCCACAGGCCACCAGAATGAATGTGCTTTATGTCAACTTTCAACCTACAGTAAGGAGGTCAGTAATGAGGTTCTGGCATTGGTAGTCATTGTCTTAAAATGGAAAAGCAAGTGAGCCTCATTGGTTGGGGATGACTGGTAGAATAAAGAAATGGAGATCAGGGATACATTTTTGGAAAGGGAAGTCTTCATGAAGAAGATGAGATTTTCTGAACTGTTGGAAGGAGGGGATTTATTAAGTCTGGATGAAGAAAAGGCATTTAGGGTCAGGTACAAAACATACTAGAAACTGGGGAGTAAGTTATTTGGGGGATAGGAAGGACAGGAAAGAACAGACTCTGATGTAAAGACCATATATGACACGCTAGGTAATGGGACTTTCACCTGCTCAGTCTCAGCTTTAAGCTCCCTCCCTCCCTCCCTCCCTCCCTCCAGCCAAGTATGTGGTCAGTGTCAGTACATGTTGACATTAGACATGTAGACATTAAATCTAACGTGTCAGATCCTTAGGTAAAAAGATGACTGAGACATGACTTCTGTCTCCCAAGAGCGGATTGTGTAGGAGTTAACTAGGAGAGTGTGTGTGTGTGTGATAGAGAGAGAGCTGCCTGCCTACCTGTGACACTACAACTCCATGGGCCGTGGGGGAGTGCAGGATTAACAGCTTGGGGAAATCAAAACATCTGAAAGAATATAACAGTTTAACAGGATCTCAAAGGATGCAAAAAAGATTTGGCAAGCAGACGAAGGTACACAATAAAAGGAAAGCGGCCAGAAGGGCCATGGGGTAAGTGGAAATGATGAGAGGTACCCTAATGTGTAGGTGCTGAGGAGAATTTGTTTAGGAACAAATTTGAAATACCTTGTATGTCAAATGAAGGAGACCAGATATTTTCCAACAGGCCCTGGTTTGCTGAGGCAGTCAAGAGACTGGAATATTAGAAATAACTAAAGCCACCGGTGGGAAGCCTATGAAGAACAGGTCTGAGTTCAGAGAGCAAACGAATTTAATAGAATACCTTGAAAATGGATGATGGTAGTGGTTTGTCCCATAATAGGAAAGAGTATACCTGTTAAGACTACAGAATCTATTTCAATGCAATAGGGGCTTGGTCAAAGAATGATTGTGGTTAAATTAGGGTAGGAGAGAAAGGGAAGGAGGAAGAAAGAAGTGGAAGTTAACACAGAGCTAGAGAGGGTCAGTTGAAGTGTTCAGAGAAAGAGGAGAGATACGGGATTATGGCAGGGACAAAGGTCATGATCAAGTAAGAATGAGAGGCAGGATAGACACTGAGTAATGCAAGATTATATGAATCCCAGTTTGGTTCTGATTAAGCAGGGAGGCTACAGGCAAATGAGCAAGAGGAATAGGAGATAACTGGGAACAAGGGCAGATCACAGCCTGGGCAAACTGGTTGAATTTCATGTATAAGTAAGGACATAAGACACTTAATATATAAGTAAGTGACACAGAAACAGATTAAGGAAGCAAACAGGAATAGTATTAGAATGTTTCTGAAACTTCTGTGACAAATTTTTAATTAAACGGTTTGGTTGATAGAAGGAGAGATTACAGGGCATCTAAGGTGAACTCCAGTAAAACCACCGGTAGCAATCTATTGATGTTGCTAGAAAGGATGGCTAACACTGGGTGATGAGGAGAGGGAGTGAGGGGGGCCTTTCATGGCGAGAGAACAATATTGAATCCATTGCCATAACAAAATTGAGAACTTCATGAATGAAGCCAGGCAAATAACCAGAGGGAAGAAAGGCAGAATGCCCTGGAGATCTGCATTAAAATTCTTCTCAGACATGAGGCTTGTCTTAAGAGGACTGACTGAAACGAGAGACAGCTACTGAGGAGACTTGTGTGAAAGAACACAAAATTAGAGAAGAGAGATGCTGGAAACAAAGTCAGGAGAGAGATGTGGGGTGGGGTGCAGGACATGCAGTGTAGCGAATGGCAGAGTGGAAGATTCAGTGGGGAGTTGCCAGGTCTCAACCACTGGAGGGGAGACTGATTAAATAGGACATGGGGCTATGAGGACATTCCAGAAAGCTTTGTTGAAATAATTTAAAGGCTGTAGCCAATGGAGCTGAAATTAGAAAGGGGTAGAAGGGCTAGATGTAAAACAGACTAACTATAGCAGTCCATGCAGGTCTGGACTGAACTGAGAAGGAATGGATGCCATACACACTGTGTAGGAAATCCAGGCAGATGGATGCA